GGATTTATGTCTGCTGGCAGGGAGAAATAAATAAAACAATACCTCTGTCTTAGCCCCTCCATGAACATCCTTGTTTCCAACCCCAGGTCTGTAATCTTCCTAGCATGGCTGAATTTTGAAATTCAGCACACTCCTTTAAGTCACTCATCATTTCTGTCTGCAGCATGTTGTGCTAATTCTGACTAGGGACCAGCAGGGCTGGCTGGGGAGATGAGCTGGCCTAGGGAATCTGGGCTGCTGTCTTACCTGCATTGTGGAACTCACAAAATTATTTAATTAGTGCCTGAAAAGTGAAATTGAACAAGCAAATTCAAGCATTCCTGTTGGCCCAGATTCATAGAATCAAGGAGTTTGGGTCAGAAAGGTTTGGGTCAGAAAGGACTTTAAAACTCATTCTGTCCCACCCCTTGCCATGGGCACCTTCCACTATCCCAGGTTTCTCCAAACCCCATCCAACCTGGCCTTGGAGACTTCCAGGGATGTGCAGCGTCATCTGGGACAGCAGCCTTGTGTCCCCCCCCCTTCCTCTCCTGGCTCTGCTGGGGCACTGGAGGGATGGAGCACATGCTCTGGGAAGTTTTGGGGGCTGCCCTGCCCAGTGCCTCATACCAGGGCAGCAGGGCTGCTCCTGCCCCCACAGGTGCCTCTGTGCTGCCCATGCCCACAGTCCCTCACCCCGGTGCCTCAGGACAAAAGGGAGGAGATGGATGCTGGCCTTGCTTGAGGTGTTTGTTTTAGAAAGACAAGATGATGAAAATTATTTCATTAAGGGACTTAAAGTGTGCTTCCTCAGGCCTGAGTCATCAGTGGAGTGAGCAAGCAGGAGCAGCAGTGGGTCCCAGTGGAGGGTGACTCACGCTGCAGCGTGGGGCTCACAGGGCTCAGAGCTGGGTGATGCTCCTCTCCCTCTGTCTCAGCATGGCTGGGGCTCTCAGCACCCTGAGCAGCAGCAGGAGGTGTCTGGGGGGCTGTGAGGCTCCCAGATTGTTCTGGGAGCTGAGGCACACTGCAGCTGCCCCTCTCTGCCATCCCCAGCTCTGCCTGCATGCACAGGAGCCACAAGCAGTCACTGCTCCAGGAGTCTGGAGACCATCCAGGAGCAGAGCATGCACACAGGCTGGCATTTGAGCTTTTGTTCTTTATTTGCATTGATAGAAGCCTGCAGATCCCCTCTCAGTCCAGGAGGAATTGATCTTTCCTCCCAGAAGGCACAGGAAAACACCAGGCCCCCTTCTGCTCCTCTGCCTCTTTCAGTTCCCAGGCTTTGGGAACAGGCAGGAAAAGAAAAGCCAATCCCGGTTCCCAGTAAGGTCAGGACCTGTCCCCTCTACACTGGTTTGTTTGGTGAGTGCTGTAAAACCTGCTGTATCCCTCCCCCTTGGAGGTGTTGGCACTGCTCAGGCCCAGTGACAGGACACTTTCCCTAAAGTCCAGGATGTGTGTTCCCTTTGCCTGACCCTGCTTCCCTACATCCCGCCCTTCCCTTGCCACTTCTCCCTTACCTCCCCCTCTTGTGGGTGGTACCTGGTGGCACCGAGGTGGCACTGGTGGCACTGTCCCAGCCCTGCTGCTGTCCCTTGTGTGTGACAGCACAGCAGGCAGTGCCCATGGCAGTCCTGCCCACAGCCTCCCCCATTCCCTGCGTGATGCCTCATTAACCAATCCCCTGATGAGGAGGATCTTCCCAGGCAGGGCTCTGAGCTCTCTCAGGGCTCTGGTTCCTACCAGGATGTTGTGCTGTCCCTGCCCATGGAAAGGCTCCAGCAAGTTCTGCTCCATTCCCTGGTGGTTCTTGTGCCTTCCTGGACACTCTCCCGGAGCCCTCTGCATCCATGGCCACCTTGCTTGGGAGAGAGAAATGCAGCATGGTGGGATTGACCTGTGCAGCTCCACCTGCCTATTGGGCACGGTCCTGTTCTCTTCTGGAAAGAGGGTGAGGGGGCAAAGGGCTGTGCCTGAGCAATGTGGGGAAACTGGGACACAAAGTGGGAAGAAATGGCCAGAGGGCAGACTTTGGGGTGGTGGTACAGCCACCAGCTGAGTCAGAGCTCCTGGTCTTCCTCAGGGCCCAATTCCTTGGACATGTTGCTGAAATTCTGCCTTTCTTCCTTATTTGCTACTTTCTTCATGAGCATTAAATTTGTAATTTTGGCTCATCATTGCTGTAACCACTGCCCAGTTTATTGGTGGGGTTCTTTAATCTCTCTGCATAGTTCCTCATTGTTTTATCTCAGATATCTAAAATCTTAGTTTTCCACTGTCTGTGGCATTGATGGGAGCTTTTTCCATGGACATCTCCACTGTGGCTGGGTGGAGGGTCTGGCTATGTGAGGTGCAGGTTGTCCAGATTTGTTTCAATGGCATTGAAAACAGTGTTTGTGGGTGATTTCTCCTTAAGAATCAGCAGTTCTCTGTGATCCCCACTAGCACAGAGAGCAGGAGGAACTGAATTTGTTGTGGCTGATGAACTTCATTGAAACCAATCCATCCTCCCCTGACACTTTGGGTTTTGGGTGCAAGTTTAAGGAAGTAAGGAAATATCATATGGGAATGCTGTGCTGGAAGGGGTGGAGCTGTTCCTGAGTGTGCTCTGGGCTTGCAGGACAGCTCCCATGGCTCAGGTGCCATCACTCACCCTCAGCAGTTACTGCTCTGCTCATTTTTCTGCTACCTCAGGAATGCACAGAGTGCATTGGGAGATCTGGGGATCTCCTGGAGATCTCTCAGCCCAACCCCTGCTCAGTGCAGGATCACCTACCCTGGATTATCCTGGACCATGTCCAGTGGGTGTTGGATGTCTCCAAGGACAGAGAATCCAGCACCTATCTGGGCAGGTTGTGCCAGTGTTGGATCAGCCCAGTTTGGTGTCCGGCCATTGATTTGTGGGCTTTGCTGCAGCTCCGTGCTGCTGTGGGGTCAGAGGAGCAGCAGGGACAGCCAGGGCTGTCCCCAATCCACCCAGCGGGGCTGCTCAGAGCTCTTGCATGTTGACAGTCAGCACCAGGGCAGGTGACATCTTAGAAACACGGAACCAGAAAATCTCCTGAGGTGGAAGGGGCCCACAAGGATCATCCAGTCCAACTCCTGGCCCTGCACAGACACCCCAACAATCCCACCCTGTGCACCCCTGAGATCATTGGCCAAGCTCTCCTGGAGCTCTGGCAGCCCCGGAGCTGTGCCCATTCCCTGGGGAGCCTGGGCAGTGCCAGCACCCTCTGGGGGAAGAGCTTTTCCTGATATCCAACCCAAACCTGCCCTGACACAGCTCCAGCCCTTCCCAATGAGCTTCTCACCCCAAATGGAAGCTGCTCCTCGTGTGCTGCCAGCTCTGCCTGCAGGCCTCTGTGTGTCCTGGGCTGAGCCCCAGGATGTCACACACAGACTGTCATACCCTGTGTGCCCTGGCTGAGCCTCAGGATGTCACACACAGACTGTTGTACCCTGTGTGTCCTGGGCTGAGCCCCAGGATGTCACACACAGACTGTTGTACCCTGTGTGCCCTGGGGCAGCTGCAGCCTCCCCACTGCCCCGGTGACCACCCAACATCTCCATGCCATGGAGAGGGTCACCCACCCCAGAACCGCATCACCATCTTGCTGGAGTGGCCAGAGCTCCCTTTTGGTTATGTTTTGGTGACAGTGGATCCCTGTCTGTTTAAAAGCTGGGGTCCTCCTCTCCCTGCTGGCTTTGGTGGGAGCTCTCTGTGGCTTTGGCTGGCAAGGGGAAGCTTTGGGATCGCTCTTTGGGCCTGATTAGCATTCGGCCCTGCTGCTCCCGCTGTTTGGAGTTGGAGCTCGCCATTGCCTGGCAACCACAGAGCAAAACTCCAGCAGCAGCCCCGAGCCCCGGCGGCTCCTGCAAGAGGCACCGGCACCGACACGCGGGGACAGGGACAGGAGCTGGGCCACCCTGCACTGCTGCCCCCTGCCCTCCACCCCACAGGGTGCACAGACAAGGATCAGCCCCAGGACGAGGAGGAGGAGGAGGAGGAGAAGAGGGCTGTGGCGGTGCAGGAGCTTTGGTGACAGCCAGGTCTGGTGGCTCTGTGTCTGTCTGTCCCGGTGCCGCCTGCCATGGGCATCCCCCAGCATTGGGCACAGCTTGCCCTGCACACCCTCGGTGCAGCAGGTGCCATGCTGTGCTCTGGGAGCTCCTGCCCTGCCCTGGGGCCTCGGGGCAGGGCCAGGCCCTGCTGTGGGTGCCTCTGGACAGGGTGTGATGGGGGAGTGGGAGTGGGGTGTGTGTGGGGTGCACGGCCCCATCCTCACAGCACAAGGAGCTGCGCACCTGCTCTGTGTGCCATGCACACACCTGGCCACGCACCCCAGCTGGGGTCTGTGCTGTGCCCAGAGCCCCCAGGGGCCCCGTAGGGAGGCTTGGCCTTACTGGGGTCTCACAGGGAACCGTGGCACAGCCCATCTGTGGTGCTCTCTGACTTCTAATCCATCCATCATGCTGGGGAGGAGTTGGAGGGACAGGAATCTGAGCGAGCATCGGGGCTCTCTCTGCTTCCTATTTTGCATGTGCTTGAGGCCTGGTGTGGTTTTCCTGGCAGAATAATTTTGTTGTCCTGTTCCCTGTGGGCCTGGGGCTCAGCCCCTGACCTGCCAGAGGGGGTTTGCAGTGGTGGTGGCTCAGCCCCTCCTCCAAACCCTGCACTTTGTCCTCTTTCCAGCTGGGGGGACTTGACAGGCCTTGAGTCCCCTCAGACACCAGGTGCCACTTTTCTGCAGGACACACAGACATGCCAGAGTACATTGAGTTCAGATCTAATGCATCCTTTCACCTCTAGCTTAACTCTCTATTTTTACATCTTTGATGCTGTGGGTACTGCCTATGGCTGGAGGGCCAAGCTGTCCTGTCCAGCCAGTACATTGAGACCCATTGGGCAGGAAAACAGCAGACATGTGCCTTTCAGTGCTTCCCCACACATCCTCATCAGTGACACTCACTTGGCAAAGGGTAAAAAAATAAATACATCTGTCTTTTGTGTCTTGCAGAGCCTGGGGTCGGCAGACAAGAAGGACTTTTACCAGCCAAAGTAAGTGCCAGTAGCAGTGGTGAGTAATTGCATGGAAATTCCCGGCTGGTCCACATTACCCAGCAGCTCCATGGCTTGCTAAGATTAGACATTTCAGTGTACAAGAATAGCTGCTGCAATTACACAAGTGAGGATAACAGGGGAAGGGCTGTCAGTCATGCTGGCTTCAGGGCATATGCAAATCCTTCCATCAGGTCAGAAGGAGCCATGACAGCTTGACTGAGCCTGGGGGACAGAGCCAGGAGAAGGGGGTGCACTGGTGACCTTTCCCACCTTGGGCTCCCTCTGCTCCTGGTTTGCACAGCTGAGCTGCCTTGGAGGATGGAAGGGTTTTGCTGTGTGTCACAGATCTCCCAGTGCATCCCCACAGCTGCTGGTGCCTTTGTCTCACCCGCTGTGCTTGGTGCAGCTCTGTGAGCTGCAGGGGGACAGGAGGCCAAGGGGGCTTTAGAGCTATGGACATGAGAAAGTTACTGCAAACCACTCCACCAGCACAGCAGTTGGCTGCTTGGTGTGTGGGTTAGGTACCAGAACCTCACCAGAGCATGGCACCTTCCAGGCTTGTGCTTGCTGGATGGACAGGTTTGCTCCCATCATCATTTGGGTAATGGCAAACTCTGTTAAAAGCCCTGCCAGGCTCTGCCCTGGCACTGCATTATGTGCTGTGCTGCTGAGCACATCACCTGTGGGACCTTGTGTTGCTCCTGCTTTGCTTGGGGCAGTGAAGGTCTGCAGGTTATCACCTTTCTTCTGAAAAAAACCAAACCAAAAAACAAAGGTGCAATTGAAGCTGTGGGTCAGTGCTCTGATGGGCAGGATTATCAGGGGAGCTTGGCTTTGGACAATTCAGAAGGAATTGGGTTGAGGATTTCTCCTCCAAAGCTCACTGTCCTGCTCTTGCTCACTGCTTTCCTGAGCATCCCAGCAGTGCAAGCAGCATCCTCGGTCTGAGCCAGGCTTGGTCTCAGGGGGAGCAGGTCCGGGGGTGCCAGCCTGTGCCAGGGAATGTTGTACAGAGCTGCCTGCTCTCTGTCTGTCCTGGGAGGGCAGGTGTGGGCTCTATGCATGCTCTGCAGATGTCTGCTGATTCCTCTTTATGCCACCAAGAGTTTTTAAAACTCAGTGCTGGTTTCTAGGTCTGTACTGAGAATCTGATTTGAGGGAGCTTCTCTGCCTGCTCACCCCAAGGCAGTACAGCTCATCAGCTCTCCAAGACCTCAGGTAGATAAAGACTTCTGGAAACACAGAATATCTGTTTAATCTTGCATGGCTTTCTGGGAGATCAGAGGAATATCACAGGAGATTATGGAGTCATTGTGGATGCCACAACAACATGAACACACATTTGGCAAAGAGCTCATGGTTGTGTTTGTGCGACCTCTCCCAACAGCTGTCCAAGATTTTGGTGCTCCTGAGTGTAAGCTGTGTTTGTGAGGAGTCTGGCAAGCAGGTTTAGACCAGATTGAAGCATCTCCCATGTCTCAGTTCCAGCTGAAGCTTTGGGGAGGTTTGAAGTAGGAGATTTGGAGGAAATCTTTAAAGAGCTCTTACTGTTCAGATTTCCTATAGTTTTCTGTGGTTTTGGTGGTTGGTACAACAATTTGTGGTGCTGCATTTATAACTAAGCTCCTCTGAGAAATGAGGATTGTTTCTCTACCTGGAATGGGAGAACATGGGCTTCCCATCTCACTGCAGGTGTGGAGCTGCTGGGTCAGAGTGGGGTTGCTGGTGTTCTCGTAGATCCAGGATGGTTTATGGGAGTTTGTTTCTCTGTTCCACAAGGCCATGGGACCTCCATGGTTTGGCCCAGCAGCTGTGACTGGTCATAACACTGTGGCTTTGGTTAATGCCCATTCACACTCCTCAGTGGCTGTTTTGGGTTGTGATGGGTGAGTTTCTGGCCATGATGTGGCCTGGTACCACTGCCCCCATCCCATCTGGCTTGTTGATCCCCCAGCTGATGCCACACTGTGCCTGCTGAACCCATCTGCAAGGCTGGACCAGGTGCTCCCTATGGAGCCCTTCAGTTTCTGCCAGGGCTGGAGCTCATCCTCCTCAGCAGAGGGTTGCTAGAAAGTGCCAGAGCTTGGGTGGCCCTGCTGGGGATTGAGAGAGCTGAGCTCCTGTGCAGCAGCTCCTCAGCCCAGATCACAGCTCCCCAACCCTGGGCCAGCAGCCAGAGCATGGCAGGAGCTGAGCCCAGCTGTGGGAGCTCCTGGACACATCTGTGCAGTGAGAGAAGCCTGGCAGTGTGCAGCTGTCCTGCAGCTCCCATGTGCCACAGCAAGCTTGACTGTGCTTCTGCTTTTCCTTTGCCAGCTCCGAGGCATTGCCTCACCTGCCCCAAAGCCCTGTGGGAGCAGGGTCAGAGCCCTCCTGCTCGTGTGTCAGCGCTGGGGCTCTCCCACAGCAGGTGCTGGTCCTGAAAGCAGAAAAAGGAGACACCCATGCCAGAAATCTCAGCAGTGAGTCTGTCACTGCTTGTCCTGGGAGGGACTCCTGCTCCATTCCTGCGATGTTCAGCTCTCTCAAATCAGGTGCCCTCTTCCTCAATGGACACCAGATATTCCATCTGCTGAATTGCCTTGTGTCTCCTGGAGTGAGTCCTTTCCTTCCTTTGCTGCCTCTTCCCTTCAGAAATGGAAATGTGTCCTCCCCTCCCAGTTCCTGTCTGTCTCAGGCAGCAGGTGAGTGTTCCTGAGCTCCTGGAGCATCCCAGTGCTGATCTAGGGCATGGAGATGTGTCCATCCTCACCCATCAGCCTCTGATGGCCCTTCCCCACCTCCCAGTCCATCCATGAGGTTCAGATCTCCCCAGGATGCAGTGAAAGCACACAGGGAGCTGCAGTGCAGGTGGACCCCAGCAGAATGGAGCTGCTGCCTGCCCTGGGGGACACCCCTCTGCTTGCAAGGATTCAGTGGTGGTGCTATGGATGATCCTGTAAGAGCTGGCCCATGGCAGGAGCTGGCTCTCCTGGTCTCTGGTCTGGGAGGGAATGTTCCCTCTGCCATGGGAAATGGAGGGATGCAGCCTGAGCCTGGAATGATGAAGCATTAATCTTAAGAAAAGCTTCATCAGCTGAGAACTGAAAGGGGTAGAGACCAGCCAAGGAAGGACCAGCAGTGGCACATAAGGAACTCCTGTAGCTGGAATACCTGAGAGAGGAACCTGGCATGTTGGGAATGGCCACAAGTGGTAGCCAGTGGTAGCCAGCATGTGCACAGTATCCTCACCTGCACTGACTGCTCCAGCCATCCCACATGAACAGGTACAGGAGCCTTCCTGTGCTTCCAAAACAGTGTGTTCAGATGTCAGAGTGGTTTATCCTGACCAACTAAAAACTCTCATCTGATGCAGTTTGGGCCCATGGCAGGGCCTGGCTGCAACTCTGCTCTGCGTGGGATCTGACCAGAGTTTGCAGGGATGGGGTGGTATCAGCCCAGCCCCTGAGCTTCTCTCTCCTTTGCCACCCCACTTTTGGAAGGTGCTGACACAGCTGTAATGCTGTCAGAATAGCCAGGCTTCCAGAGGTCCTTGCAGATTTCTAACACAGGGCCCTGACTTCTCTGTCAAGGCAGTGAGGAGCCCTGGCTGAGGACTCAGGGGCAAGGACACCATGCTCAGAGACAGGAATAGGCTTTCCTGGGACAGGAGGTAATAACTCTCCTGGCAGGGCTGGGTGGAAGTCCCTTGACAGGAGCTGGAGTTGTCTGGTGTGTTTGCTTATTGCCCCTGGCACGTATTTGCCCTTCAGTGTCAGGAACTAATTTTCTTTAAAGCAGAAAGAGATGTTGGTGGTAATGACACTCATAAACCCCTAGGAAATGCAGACTGAAGTACCTGGGCTTAATAAAGTGTCCCTGCTCTGCAGTGGGAGCTGCCCTCATTCCCCCTGTGCTGAGCTGCCAGGGACTGTGTGCCAGGCACTCTGAGGGGTCAGAGACACAGCTGCAGTGACAAAATGCTCTCCATGGATCCTGAACGCCTGTCCCCTGGTGTGGTGGCCCTGCAGAAGAGACTGGCTGGCTCAGAGCGTGCCCTGCAGCAGCAGGATCCCACAGAATGCCACAGGATCCCACAGGATCATCCCACAGCAGGATTCCACAGGATCCTACAGGATCCCACAGCAGGATCCCACAGGATCCCACAGCAGGATGTCACAATAGGATCCCACAGCAGGATCCCACAGCAGGGTCCCTCAGCAGGATCCCACAGGATCCCACAGCAGGATCCCACAGCAGGATCTCACAGCAGGATCCCACAGGATCCCACAGCCCTTTTGGCAGCACCTCGTGGCTCTGGCTCCAGCTGGGATCAAAGGCTCCCCCACCCTCTGTCCTTCAGGCTCAGAAGTGCAAACACGGGAGGGGCCTTTGAAAGCACCTCCCAGAAAGCAGCAGCTCCTGTTTGCTGTCTTAAAGTCATTACACAGAGCTGTCTCCACAGCTAATTCTTTGTCACCTGGCCCTTACAGCACAACATTTCATCTCCCAGACTCCAATCTTGCCATGCCAGCACTTCGATGAAAGTGTTTCCTTGCTGAATCATTATCTCGTAAAATGTTGGTGGTTTAAAGGCTCTAGAAATCAGTATTTACATTTTGGAAGCATTAAGGACCATCATAATGAGCGTGATGTGTTCCTAAGCCAGGTTCTCATTTCATTGCCTCCCTCCCTCAGACATTATTGCTGTAGGAATGATGACAATCACACACATGTAGAAGCGTTTGACTTCTGTGGTGGCTGAGAGGTGTTCAGCTGGGAGCTCAGGTTCCAAGTGCTGAGCAGAGGGAGGAGACACTGATGGGAAGTGGGGAGATGGTGCCAGAGACACCAGGGAGCTGTGGGGTAGGAGAAGCAATGCCAAGACCACCTCTCCATAAAGGATACTCATGGGGATACTCAGTGATGCAAGAAACTGTCCCAAACCGCCTCTGCTGAGGTCTGGGTGAACGCTGCTCTTGCTCATTTTCCTTTTGTTGGTTCTTGGGAGAGAGTGC